AATAATTAGGTGTACTACTTGGACAAGAGATCCAGCTCGCTGAACACTCCGTACACCGGCTCGAACGTTGAATCCTAATTTCAAGAGCTCTCTGCAGGAAACTACAACTTGTTATCAACAATAAATATGTTCTTGATAATATTTTTTTTTTTGTTTTTTTAAGAATTCATATTTCATATGGAAAGTCAAAAGGGCACCTCACGGTTCGTGATCCTACTCGGCCGGTGGCCCCCGCAACAAAAACGAGATTTCCATCTTTTTGGCTGCTACTGCTCGGCACAGTGTCTTGTGCTTGACACTTGATTATTGTTGTGTCTAATAGGCCAAAACAGAAATACAGTAAAAATCAAATGCACGATATTATATATGATGTTAGGCAATTAATGCCCACAAGCTGAGAAAGAACGTTGATATCGAATTGAAATCGGTTTACAGTCTATACATTCTATCCCATTTTCATAAAACGTGCTTTCTTGGAGATTCAAACATGAAACGCTATAGCCAAGCAAGATTTCTACTGGTTGAGTGAAGGTCTCAACATTGGGCAATAATTAGAGGAAAAATTAAATTCGAACGGTGAACACTTTCAAGCACAGGTCTGAATAGTTCCCAAATCACATCAAGACAGCTTTTTTTTTTTTTTTTTTTTNAGATCGAAAGCATATTAAAAGTAATATAAACATCAATGCAGGATTCTTTCCTTAATTCTCATGTATAATGTGAACAATCAGCAAGAAAAATTTGACAGATATAGTTTAAAAATCACTCAATCCAAAAACTACTAAATACTAACCACCCTTTTTAGCTCAATTAGTATCACTCACTCTCAACAAAGCTGTTTAGTGAAGGAACAAACCTGACTTTCAATTTCTTCTTTTAGATTAAGCAAACAAATAAAATAAAAATTCAAACTTTAACACACCACCATGAAATTTACCTGAAGCTCGAGCCCTAGAATCAATAAACCTGAGCTTTCTGGCATCTGGGCATGTCCTATTTTGGCCGACCAGCTTGAGAATGGTGGGCCCGCACAAAAATGGTTTCTCTAATGGCGCAGTCCGAGGAATGCTGCTCACCGCCGGCGATTGTACGCGACTGAGTTCCATCGGCGGCAGTTGCTGGTCGAGGAAGGAGAACAATGGCGATTATAATTGTTTATTATTATTATCTTGATCGAATTCTTATAGCTTCTTGTTATGGAGTAGGGATATTTGGTCCCCGCAAAGGCGCTAACTTTCAAAATCTTCTAATAAACTGCGGCCACATATCAAGCTATGTGGCCAAGGATGGTTGCAGATTACAAATCTGATGTGTTAATTAAATGAGCCAGAAATGGACTTTAGCTCCGGTCATTTATCACTATTAACGAGTAATTTAAAGTTTTAATGAGCTCATCTCGAACTTTAACGAGTCGAATTATAAAAAATATCTTTTCGAGTCTTAATAAACCTTATCGAATTAAGCCGAGTTCGACTTGTTAACCAAATGAACTTTAAATGAGCTCGAGCTTAGCCCGAACTAAAGATGGGTCGCGCATAAACTTTTATAGAAAAAGTTTAATAGGTAAACAAACTCCAATTTTGCTGAAATTTTAGGAGTACGACTTTCTTGACAAGATGAATCAAAAGGTAGAACTTTCATGAAATTTTATGGGTACGACGGCCTTAAAACGAGTCCAACAGTTGGCTACTCAATCAGAATTAAAGTCAAATGATGTCGAAATTCCAACGAACAACGAATAACGAGCAAAAAATAAAAATGTATATAAATATTTTACAAAAAATTGAATATGCCGAATGTGATTTGGTTCTGATTTTATGGGTAGGCCCTTCTTGAGGAGACGAGTCCAATGGTGATGACTTCATCAATATAGAGCAACACGATATTAAAAATCACACCGGACATAGAACATTAGACGAAATATGCGCAAAAAATGCTTCTACCAGAAATTGAATGAGTAAACAACTTTGATTAGGCTGAAATTTATATGTACGACTATTCCAACGAGACGATTCAAATGATAAACCAGTGAACCAAAACAGACACAAAGCAACAATTGAATTTTACCAAACGGAAAACAGTTGTATCAAAATAGAAAGATTAGTTAAAGAGTATGATTATAGTTGTACCAAAATAGAAAAGATTACCTCGAGAGTATGATTAGTGTACACTTTTGATCAATTTGGCAACTTTTTAGACCGAGTTTACTTAAATTCAAGTTCCCGTATGTTCTTGGAAAACGGTTAATGCAGTTTTTTCCTTTCTTTTTTTGAATTTTTGTCGAGTTGTTTTGTCACCACGAAAATCCCCATCTTAAATGAGCTAGTAGTACTACTTCGCAAATACTTAGGTGTGCCCTGGCACACCTTGCTAGATGTGTCAGGGCATGTGTGAAATGCACTCTCTCTTAAAATCGCGTGAGGTAAGGTAATAAGGTATGCAAGTTTTTTTTTTTTGTTTAAAAAAGACAAGTGTCCAATATATATTGGATAATAAATTTTACATATCATATTATATAAATTAAATTATTATTCACATTTTATATTAAAAAATAAAAATAAAAATACCAAAATTCATAATTTTTCAATCTCTACAAATAGAGACCACATTTGATAAGTTTTGGAACACAATTAATTTATCATTTTTTATAATTAAATTATCTTTTTGGAAGGTGATGACACAAATATATAATAAGATGAACATGTTACATACTAAGATGCGCATGTTATATAGTAAAATGAACATGTTATAGAATAAGATGAAAATGTTATAATTTTACAGATGGAATTTAGATGAACATTTTATACAATAAGATGAACATGTTACATAATAAGATGAACATGTTATAGAATAAGATGAACATGTTACATATTTACACAATAAGATGAACATATGAACATGTTATAAAATAAGATGAACATATGAACATGTTATATAGTAAGATGAACATATGAACATTGGAACACAATTAATTTATCATTTTTTACAATTAATTTATCTTATTGGAAGATTATGACGCAAATATATAATTAGATAAATATGTTACATAGTAAGATTAACATGTTATAGAGTAAGATGAACATGTCATAGAATAAGATGAAAATGTTACATTTTTCAGAGATGAAATTTAGATGAACATGTTACATAATAAAATGAACATGTTATAGAATAAGATGAACATGTTTAGATTCCATATCTACATCACGGGCTCTCACATTATTTTCTCCAATTTCCACTTCATATATAAAATTCTGGTTAATTTTTTGCTCGACTTTCACTCGTTTAATGCAAGCATCTCCGCCCTGAAATAATAAACCATAATCTACAGATAAGAACTCAAATTTATGCAATAGTCATACCATAGGGAATAAAAGTGAAAAACTAGTAGAATGTAAAAGAAATTCCATAAATTAGTCTTTCGATCGAATATCCTCCACCTTCACAAACCAAAATCCTCTCTAATAAGATGAAAATGTTACATTTTTCACATATGAAATTTAGATGAACATGTTATAAAATAAGAGGAACATGTATGAACATGTTATAGGATAAGATGAACATGTTACATAATAAAATGAATATGTTATAGAATAAGATGAACATGTTACATAATAAAATAAACATGTTATAGAATAAGATGAAGATGTTTAGATTCCATATCTACATCATGGACTCTCACATTATTTTCTCCAATTTCCACTTCATACACAAAATTCTGGTCAATTTCTTGCTCGACTTTCACTCGTTTAATGCAAGCACCCCTGCCCTAAAATAATAAACCATAATCTACATATAAGAACTCAAATTTATGCAATAGTCATACTATAGGGAATGAAAGTGAAAAACTAGTAGAATGTAAAAGAAATTTCATAAATTAGTCTTTCGATCGAATATCCTCCGCCTTCACAAACCAAAATCCTCTCTAATAAGATGAAAATGTTACATTTTCACAGATGAAAATTAGATGAACATGTTATAGAATAAAATGAACATGTTACATAATAAAATGAACATGTTATAGAATAAGATGAACATGTTACATAATAAAATGAACATGTCATAGAATAAAATGAACATGTTACATACACAATAAGGTGAACATGTTACCAAAAAATGAAAATTAGTTGTGTTCAAAAACCTATCAAATGTGGTCTCTATTTATAGATAATGAAAAATTATGAATTTTGGTATTTTTATTTTATTTTTTTAATATAAATAATTAATGATATTTTAATTTATGTAATATGTCTCATTTTTTCATTGAAAAAGAAAAATTGGGAGAGTGCACTACACCTTCTAAATTTTCTAGCTTTTTGAGAGTGAGGGGCGCGTGTAATAAGGTGAACATGTTACCAAAAAACGAAAATTAGTTGTGTTCAAAAACCTATCAAATGTGGTCTCTATTTATAAATAATGAAAAATTATGAATTTTGGTATTTTTAGTTTATTTTTTTAATATAAATAATTAATGATATTTTAATTTATGTAATATGTCTCATTTTTTCATTAAAAAAGAAAAATTGGGAGAGTGCACTACACCTTCTAAATTTTCTAGCTTTTTGAGAGTGAGAGGCGCGTGCAATACTGCCCTAGCTAGGTGTGCCAGGGCACGGTAGTGGTACTGGTACTACTTGGGCGCTATTAACGAACAATTTATTAAAAAATTTTAAAGTTACAAATATAAATGCGAAAATTTCAATTTACACACAGTATTCACATAGTATTCTTATTTCATCAAAAATTCTATGAAGTCATCTGATGACTCTATAGTATAGCAAAACTGCTTATTTCATATATATTTGCACAATTTTATTTAAATTTTTACTAAAATAATAAAGCTAAAATTTTCATAAAATAATATTGACATATATTAAATAGTTCTCATTATACCCCAAAACTCAAAAGAAATAATTCTCTTACATTTTTTTTTTTAAATAATAACAAAATTTATCATGTCAAATATATTTTTGAATATAATAAGTAGTTGAATATTATATAGTAAAGAAAAATAAATAAAACTATATATATATATTTTTTTTTTCTATCACAAATAAATATAGATACTAAAATTTTGTTTATTTCAATATAAACCCGCTAGCCCAATAACAAATTAACCAAAGGGAGTCTACTCTCCCTTTACCAGGTAATTTGCTGACGAATTTTACAAAGTACCTTACAATTTATTACACGACATTTGTAATTTGTAGATACTATAACCAAAGATTCACTTTTGTTACACAGCAATACAATAACGTGCCTTCCTCTGGCCAACCCGACCTAAACGTGGGATTGTATCATATAAGATTAGAGGTAACCGAAAGCAAGTTCCGATTTTAAGACACAGCTTACAATGCAAAAATGCAGTTTATGCCACTTGCAGTAATTCTTCACGCTTTATGTCGAAGACCCTTGCAAGAACATCTTCAACAACCTGGACATTATGTATTTATAACAAATAAAAAAATATTTAATTAGCCACCGTGTATATTCTGAATGCGACAATTTGGGTGCAAGATTATATTACTTAATTGCAGTATGAAAATGGGGTTTCGATATGCAAGCAAATGGCATTTGCATTAAATCCGGAACATCTATTTTTTTTTTTTCAAACGATTGTTTGATAGCTATCACTTGTTCTTCTGAGGGAAAAATTGGAGATTTAGTCTTGTAACTCACACCTAATTGACACCTAATTGAGAAATAGTCTCGTGATTACGTTGACTTTACAAAACATCTTGTAACTGCAAAAAAACCCAACTTTTGGTCCTTCCACGGGCAAAAAAGTCGGTCACTGTGACCGGATATTGACGTGGATATTATTTTTCATTTTTTTTTGTTCGTACACGTGGCAGCCGACTAACATATCCAACTCAGTAGCCGGTCAAATTGACCGGCTTTTGCCAGTGGATGGACCAAAAGTCAGGTTTTTTTTTTCCAACTATGTTTTGTAAAATCAACACAACCACCAGATTATTTCTTAAGTTACAGGACTGAATCTTCAATTTTTCCCAGTTCTGAGTGATAGCTGTAGTTTTACAGAGTTAGGCTGAACATCAAAGGTGGTATTTTGTATTTTTGTAATCATACCTTTCTAAGATTGCTATTAGAAGTTGAAGCAAAGTTAAGAAACGAGAACAAAATTGCAGAATCACCTTATCAGGTGTAGATGCACCAGATGTAATCCCGATTCTGACCTGACCCTTAGGTAGCCAGTTCTCCTTCTCCACCAACTCACCATGCTGTGTGTGAAATATTTAGACAGAGTAAATAACTAAATATGTGACATGTAACTGCATAACTGAGATAAAATCATAGCATATAAGAATCATTGCAAAGGCATACCATCAACTTGTAAGCAATTTTATTTCCGGGTCCTATCCTTTTCTCGCTGTCTATCCAATATGAAGGAATCCCACGATCCTCGGCAATTTCTTGTAAATGGGAAGTGTTGCTCGAGTTCCAACCGCCAACAACGAGCATGAGATCTAGTTTTTCCTCGACCAGTTTATACATAGCGTCTTGCCGTTCCTAAATAAAAGAGAAACAAATGTTATGGGTGTAAATAATTTGGTCTTTTTGTTTTTTACAAGAGGATATTAAAACAAAATGGGGCAGTGAATTTAAGAAATTGAACGTGGCTGGGAGGAAGACTTTACTTGAGTTGCATCGCAAATAGTATTGAAACTTATGAAGTGATTGTTAATATTTTCGACTCCAAACTTTTGCATCACGGTCCTTTCGAGTAATTTTCCTGCAGAATAAAATCATTTGTTACACAAGTCAAGTATTGTAAATATGAACAGAGAGATGTTGTGAGGTATCCACTGACCAATTTCCTCAGTTTCCCCTTTCAACATGGTAGTTTGATTTGCAACACCAACTTTGACAAGATCTTTGTCTGGATCAAATCCATCAGACACTGCATATTTGAATTTCTGCAAAAAAAGATCGCATCACGTTAAGTCCCAGCACCAGGAGATACTAAAGCCACATATGATTACAACACCCACTTGAGACTGGCCATTTGCCTAGCAGATCCTCTCTTACTCTTGAGAGAATAGATTTGAAAGGAATGCTAAAGGGGGGTGCTTATGTCTGTGAAGAACAATGGGCTTTTCCATGCTTAAGCTAAATCCATGATAAATTTTTTGATTAAACCTTCAAGCAGGAAAACTCTGACCCTACCTCCAAAAAGGCCTCTCTGGTCGAGCTGGATCCATCAAGCCCACCACCCAAAATGTAATCACATACATATGTTGCCTGCAATATCAGAGTAAAAACTTTAGACTAATACAATCTCAATAGCTTAATTAGACTTTGAAAGAAGAAACAAAAAAAATAAAGATAAATACCTCTTTCATGTTCTTTACAATAATGTACTTCCCAGCAAAAGAAGCAGTAGCCACAGTCTCCTCATGAGAATATTTACCGTGGATTACCGAAGTATAATCTCCCTTCTTGTGCTTCTCAACTGTGTTCCAAACCTTTTTAACGAGAATTAATATCCGTTAGCCCATAGATAAAAGAAAAGAAAGGGAAAAAGGCTTCTAAAAACATATGGACTGCGGAAAGTACCTTAGATACCCATGGGCAGGTGGTATCAACTATTTGAACATTCTTTTCACTCAAAACTAACATCTCATCCACAGCAGCTCCAAAAGCAGGCAGTACCACAACATCACCCTTGTCAACAACATCAAATTGTTTCTTGCCGTCGTCTAAAGGAATATTTTTCACTTCCATCTCTTCAAGCCTCTATTTATAGAAAGTAATTTATCATAATCGAACAACCGAATATTAGTAAATGAAATACATATGTGACAAGAGTAGATGAAATAAGCTACCTGATTAACAGTGGGGTTGTGAATGATTTCATTGGTGATCCAGATCTTCTCAGTCGGGAACTGTTTTCTTGCTTCGTAAGCAATCTGGACAGCACGCTCTACACCCCAGCAGAAACCGTATGATTCAGCAAGCTTCACGGTGACATTTCCCCATGTGTATTCATATCCGTTCTCCTTCAATGTCTTTATAATGTCACCTGAGACATTCCAAAAACAGGGGCAGGTATGTAAACACATATTCACTCACACATGCATAAGTATATCAAATCTTGAAGAAGCAGCAGGAAGGTATGATGTGCACACTGCAAAATGATATTTTCACGAACAGTGCTCATTGACAGACTAATAGGATTATCAATTATGCTAACTAAGGACTAAGCAAATAAAATCTTATAGAGTGTCAAAAGTTAAAGGACTCACTCTTCGGTGGGAACATAATTTAATTGTTTCAAAAATTGAATTATTTTGTTTCTTTACTTACGGGTTGATTTGGAGTATTATTATTTCTTTCTTTAAATAGTTAAAAGGGGGACTGACATGGTCGGGAGTATACCTAATAAACTGCGAGATACATGGATCCCACCTATATCAACAGTACAGCACCCATTTTAAGGGTGAGATCTACCACTTGAGCTGCAAGCTCGGGGTTGAGTAGGATTTTTATTATTTTTATTTATCTAATTTCTTGTCAAGTTTTTGGGAACATCAAGAAGTTTGAAACACAGTGGTTGCATAACAATTAGATAATATCATCAAACCCAGAACTTAACATCAGAAACAATGAATCAAAGCCAGAGATAACCACAAACATCTAGCAGCTGCTACAACTCAATCAAGTCAATCCTTAAAGGCCAAAATAAAAACTTTGGGAACATCAAGAAGTTTGAAATACAGTAGTTGCAAAACAATCAAAAAATATCATCAAATTCACAACTTAAACATCAGAAACAACGAATCAAAAGCCAGATGATAAACGCAGACAACTAGCAGCGGCTCAAAGCACATCTAATCAATCAATCCTTAAAGGGTAAACAGAAACCTCCAAGTTGAAATTTTTGCTTCCCAAAAATACGAACAATTCACCTCCGACGCACAGGCAAAAATCAACTGCGGATTAAGCTCACTTCAAAACAATAAATAAATAAATAATCGAATTCTCTTGAAATTCAGTCAGACATACTCGTATACTCCTGGCTCATTTGCTCGAGAGTCTCCTTTTTATGCCCAAACCCCTTGCGATTGTAGTTCTTGCTCCTCGTCAAGTTGTGGCGGAAAACCTTCGCGTCGAACTCGGACGACTCAACCGCGGCGGATGAAGACGGAACACCTTCCCCAGCGGCGGAGCACCGGACGGAGGACGGCTTCCGCAGCCGGAACAATCGCGCCTCCGGCAAGCCGAGATCCGTGCGGGTGGAGATGCGGCAGAATTGAAGGGAGATCGCCATCGCCGAGAGCGCACGTTAGCAGGAGGAGAAGCTGTGAGCTGGGACTGGGAGTTGACGGTGGTTGACCGGCGGTGGGTTTTTAGGACGCTGTAAAATGTGGCGGAGGCGAAATATAGCTGATTTTTTCTGCGCTCGTGATCCATGAATTGCATTTGTTTATTGTTTTTTGTTTATTTGTACAGGTGTAGTGCTTTTATTCGTTTTATAGTCATATTTTTTTTATTGATGTGCATATTTTTTAATTGAAACGACTGAACATTTTAAATTATATTTTTAATACAATGATAATTTTATCCAAAATTCTAAAAAGAATATAATTTCAAATACATTTTATTTTTATTAAATTAAAAAGGTAATGAATTTTATAAATAATTTATTATTTAATAATTCCTACTGTTCCAACGTCACATATTAAATTCACGCTAATTAATATTGTTGCTTCAATTTTTTTTAATTATTCAATAATTAAGCATATGTAGTATCAATAAAAATATAATAAAACATTTTTTAATATTATTATTTATTATATATATTGTTAGTTGTTTACTATTAAATGCCTATTAAAAAATCCACTAATCAAGTATAGTAATACAATTTAGTACCAACTATCTACTAATACAATATATTCTATCAAAAAATTTTATACTAAATCTATTATAGATACATATGTGCATGGATTGTTCGTGGGAGATGCAATAGTTTTGATTGCAAAATCCTTATGAACAGTAATAACATTTATTTATTAAGCTAGATGCAAAAATATGTTGACTTTAATTAGGTGTTTTATTAGCAATCACGTGTGTCACAACGCAAGGCCAATAAAATATGAGAAACTCGAGCATCGCGGCAAACATTTTATTTCAATTATATATATGGAAGTCAAAGGAAATAAAAGAGGCCAATTTCATTTTTATATAATGCTGTTGTTGTTGGGAAAAATACGCTGAATTTTCCATGAAGTCGGATTTATAAAAGTGAAATAAAAATAAAATTGGATACGCCAATTGATAACGGAGTTCGGCCAATAATGCCTACGTCTCCGGACTACTGCAGATATTTTATTAGAAAAAAGAATACACTCGTGTTTACAACACACTCTCGAAACCACTCACAACTCACAACACAAATACACACAAAAGCTAAATATTTTACTTCTTTTCACTCTCTTCTTTTTTTTCTCTCTTTCTTTCTGTGTTTTCTGTATTTGTTGGTGTGTTTCGTTCATCAAAACCCATCTCTATTTATAGAGTGGGGAGTGCACAATTTGTCATCAAAAGACTGCTCACGTTCAGCCCCAAATTAAATGCTTTCACATGGATTTTGGTTGATATCTTCAACAAAAGGCTGCCCCTGCACATTTATTGCATACGGCTTGGTGGGCTGGAACAATTTTCATCATTTGAGGCAGCTGATTTTTCTACAATTGCTGCACACTTTTTTCAACATTGGCGGCTAACAATCTCCCACTTGAGGACTGATTTCAATCTGCCCTCACACCTCAATTACTGCAGTAGTCTTCTCAGGTCTTTTATCCTAGCAAGCCAACTGAAGTTGAGCACAACTTCAGTTTGTCAATGGTCACCACCTTCGTTAGCATATCTGCTGGGTTCTTGCTTCCTACAATCTTTTTCAAAGTCAACACTTCATCCTCGAGAAGAGATCTGATGAAATGATATCATATGTCAATGTGCTTAGTTCTGGAGTGAAACACTGAGTTCTTTGCCAGATGTATTGCACTCTGACTGTCACTGTGCAAGACACTCTCTTTTTGAGTGAAACCCAACTCTGCTAACAATCCTTGAAGCCATATCAATTCTTTACTGGCTTCAGTCACTGCTACATACTCAGCCTCTGTAGTGGATAGAGCAACAATCTTTTATATCCGTGACATCCAACTAACAGCTGTAGCTCCGACAGTAAAAACATAACCGGTGGTGCTTCTCCGGTGATCAACTTCACCTCCAAAGTCTGCATCTACGTAGCCCTGTAACCTTAGATCTCCTTTTCTAAAATACAGACATTTTTCTGTTGTGCCCCGTAGATATCTCAAAATCCATTTGACTGCTTCCCAATGAGTTTTTCCTGGATTTGACATAAACCTGCTAACAACTCCCACTGCATGACCAATGTCTGGCCTCGTACAGACCATCGCGTACATCAAACTTCCAATGGCTGAAGCATAAGGAATCTTAGCCATGAACTCTTCTTCTTCTTTTGTTTGAGGAGATTGATCCTTGGATAAACGAAAATGGCTGGCCAAAGGTGTACTGACTGGTTTGGCCTTGTCCATGTTAAATCTCTGCAAGACACGGTTGATGTACTCTGCCTGAGATAACTGCAAAACTCCCTTTTGCTTATCTCTCGTGATCTGCATTCCAAGAATCTTCTTTGCTGGGCCTAAGTCCTTCATGTCAAATTCTTTTGACAACTGCATCTTTAATTTTCTGATGTCTTTCATATCTGATCCTGCTACTAACATGTCATCGACATAAAGTAGCAAGATCATATAGTTGGACTCATACTTCTTAAAGAAACAACAGTGATCAGCATTGCACTTCTGAAACCTTCCTTGTGCATGAAGCTTTCAAACTTCCTATACCACTGTCTTGGAGCTTGTTTCAGGCCGTACAAGCTCTTCTTCAATTTGCACACCATATCCTTCTTTCCATCTGAAAAACCTTCAGGCTGGTGCATATAGATCTCCTCATCTAGGTCTCCGTGAAGAAATGCAGTCTTCACGTCTAATTGCTCTAGGTAGAGCTCTTCACTAGCCACAATACTTAGCACCGTCCTGATAGTATTGTGCTTTACAACTGGAGCAAAGATTTCAGTATAGTCAACTCCTTCTTTCTGCTGAAATCCTTTGACAACCAGTCGGGCTTTGTATCTCCTGGAACCATCATGGTCTTCCTTCACTCGATACACCCATTTGTTGTGAAGTGCTTTCTTTCCCATAGGTAACTTGACTAGTTTCCATGTCTGATTTGAGATCAAGGACTTCATCTCGTCCTTCATGGCAAGCTCCCACTTGCTAGCATCCGTGGTTTGACAAGCTTCCATGTAACTTTCAGGCTCCCCTCCATCAGTCAGCAACATGTAGTCCATGTATCTCCTGTTAGGCACATGGGGCCGAGATGACCTTCTCAATATAGGAGCTGGAGTAGGAGGTTCTGATTGCACATCACTTTCTTCATTTGATTCCTCTGACTGAGGACTCCTCATTATAGGACTATCTGGGATATCTTCCACCTCAGCATAAACTGGCCCACTCGCTTCTGAGTTGCTGGCACCTGTATTATGCCGGTCCTTATACATCACTCTTTCATTAAAGATGACATCTCTGCTGCGGATCATCTTTTTGTTTTCATCATCCCATATGCGGTAGCCAAACTCATCTTCACCATAACCAAGAAAAGTACATTTCTTTGATTTTGGATCAAGTTTGTTTCTACCTTGATCACTGATGTGCACATATGCTACACACCCGAAAACTCTAAGATGTGAGAGTTTTACTTCTTTTCCGCTCCATACCTCTTCTGGTAACTTGTGATCCAGTGGTACCGATGGACTTCGGTTGATCAAGTAAGTTGCTGTGTTGACTGCTTCTGCCCAGAACTGCTTTGGTAGGCCTGACTGTACACGCAAGCTTCTGGCTCTTTCAGTCAACGTTCGATTCATACGCTCAGCTACACCATTGTGTTGAGGCGTACCAGGCACGGTTCTCTCCATTCTGATCCCGTGCTCATAGCAAAACTTCTTGAATCTGGTTGTTACGTATTCACCACCATTGTCGGATCTGAGCTTCTTGATCTTCAAGCCTGTCTCATTTTCCACCATAGCTTTCCAAATCTTGAAAGCTTCAAATACTTCTGACTTGTGTTTTAGAAAGTAAACCCATACTTTTCTGGAGTGATCATCGATAAAAGTCACGAAGTATTGCTTCCCACCAACGGATGGGACAGTCGTTGGACCCCAAACATCAGAGTGGATGAGCTCAAGCTTCTCCTTCTTTGGAGTTCTTCTACTTGTCTGAAAGCTGACTCTCTTCTGCTTTCCAAGTATACAGCCTTCACACATGTCAATTTCTATTGACTGGAGGCCTGGTAATTTTCCTTTTGAGTGAATGATCTTCATCCCTTTTTCACTCATATGCCCAAGTCTTTGGTGCCATAGATTGGGACTTTCATTTGCTGCAACTGCAATCAGATGACATGCTCCTGTGGTCTTGTAAAGAGTACCACTCTTTTTGCCTCGAGCAATTGTCATCGCACCCTTTGAAATCTTCCAATCATCACCATGGAAGATTGTCGTGTAGCCTTCACTGGCTAGCTGGCCCACGGAGATTAAATTCTTCGTCAGGTCGGGAATATGTCTAACATTTTTCAATTCCCATACAGACCCGCTCAGCTTGATTTTTATTGCACCTTTCCCTACAACCTCACATGATTGCTCATTACCAAGGTAAACTTTACCAAGGTTACCAGGAACATAATTTTCGAGTAGTTCCTTCTGTGAGGTAGCATGAAAGGATGCTCCAGAGTCTAACACCCAAGACTCTTCTCTGTTCTCCAAAGAACATACCAGCATATCTCCTCCTGAGGATGAGGCAACATTTGCTTCTTCTTTTGCCTCCTGACCCTTCGGTGCACTCTTGCACTGGTTTTTGTAGTGCCCGGTCTTCCCACAATTCCAGCACTCGATCGACTTCGAGGTTTGGGAACTACGATGATTTCTGGACTTGGATCTTCTTCCCTTTGATTTGTTGTGTCTGCTTTCTTTGGTTGAACTTCTTCCTCTTGACTCTGTATGCAATACAGAAGAGGTCGATGGTTCACCCGACTCTCTCCGCCGGATCTCTTCACTGAGAACCAAATTTTGGACATCATCAAATCTCAACTTATTGTTTCCCGATGAGCTACTCACAGCCGTGACCGTAGCATTCCAACTTTCTGGTAGGGAAGACAAAAGTATTAAAGCCCGTACTTCATCATCGAACTCGATCTCAACTGAACTCAACTGGGTTGTGACGGTGTTGAGCTCATTGAGATGATGTGCCACCGAAGCACCTTCGGTCATCCGAAGGTTGAACAATCGCCTCATCAAATGAACTTTATTTGAGGCTGATGGTTTCTCGTACATGTTGGAAAGAGCCTTCATGAGGCCTGCTGTCGTCTTTTCTTTTGCAATGTTAAAAGCAACATTACGGGATAACGTCAGCTGGATGGCTCCAAGAGCTTGTCTGTCAAGGAGACTCCAATCTTCCTCCTTCATGTCCTCTGGCTTCTTTCCAGTGAGTGGTTGATACATATTCTTCTGGTACAGATAATCCTCGATCTGCATCTTCCAGAAGCCAAAGTCCGCACCGTCGAACTTTTCGATTTTCATTTTTCCTTCGTCTGCAGCCATCACTTCGACTCTGATCTGACTTCACTGCCGGATCGTTTCTGATAAATTTTTTTTTGTGAACGACCGTGTTTCAAAACACGTCGGTAAATAAATTTGTAGCGCCGACAAATTTGTCACTATTTCCGTTTTTCACTATTCACGGAATAGTAACCCACACAAAAAAATACAGAATTAACAATCTGGCTCTGATACCAGTTGTTGGGAAAAATACGCTGAATTTTCCATGAAGTCGGATTTATAAAAGTGAAATAAAAATAAAATTGGATACGCCAATTGATAACGGAGTTCGGCCAATAATGTCTACGTCTCCGGACTACTGCAGATATTTTATTAGAAAAAAGAATACACTCGTGTTTACAAAACACTCTCGAAACCACTCACAACTCACAACACAAATACACACAAAAGCTAAATATTTTACTTCTTTTCACTCTCTTCTTTTTTTTCTCTCTTTCTTTCTGTGTTTTCTGTATTTGTTGGTGTGTTTCGTTCATCAAAACCCATCTCTATTTATAGAGTGGGGAGTGCACAATTTGTCATCAAAAGACTGCTCACGTTCAGCCCCAAATTAAATGCTTTCACATGGATTTTGGTTGATATCTTCAACAAAAGGCTGCCCCTGCACATTTATTGCATACGGCTTGGTGGGCTGGAACAATTTTCATCATTTGAGGCAACTGATTTTTCTACAATTGCTGCACACTTTTTTCAACATTGGCGGCTAACAGTTGTAAATAAAAGATGGTTGTCATGGTTGGTAATTGAAAAAGGCCAATTTCATTTTTATATAATTCTTTCACAAATAAAAGATACTCTTCAACATAAAGGTCTCCCTTCAAGCATGTGTTTCTTGTCACTAGGGTGTATTCGTTTATGATTTTGGTGCTATTTTGAGATTTTTTTATTTTTTTTAATTTGAAACTTTATTAAATTTATAGATTTTAAAGAAATTCTATAAAATTTTAAGTCTGTTTTTAGATTTGAAGTGATATTTCATGTATGTTTTTTGTTTAGAGAAAAATTTAAAAGGTCATAACAATTTGAGTCTCGAATAACTTAAACACTCAAGATTTTGCTAGGCTTTTTGAAATCTCAAATAAATATATCAAGACTTTTAAAAGTCTTAAAAAGCCTTGTATCAAAATTTACAAAAATTTAAAAAATCTAAAACAAATACACCCCGATAAAAATGTTTCCTAAAGACTTTAGGATAACTTGTTGCTAAATCCTCAAATAAAACAATTATTGAATTAAATTTTGAACCAAATTGTAAAGTTGATTTATTTATTTATTTATTTTAATGCTCATGATAAGATTAACAACATGAATTACGATTTCTTGATTTTAAATAATTTATTCATTAATAACTACTTGACAAGTAATATTAAACAATTTTAGAAAGCTTGTAAGATAGAGCTTTTTAAACTATACAAATAACTCAAGTGATTTTTGTATGTACAAATCCAATATTCAAGCATACCTCAAAAATAATCACCAAAATTGTATAACAATTGGATAAGTAAGATTCAAGCTTTAACGAATCAACCTATAAAACTATAGATAAAAATATTTATTAAAAGTCGAGCTCAACTCTTTAACAAAACAATCTTGAGCTCAGCTCGCTTGATTCACGAATGACTCATTTTGTACAACAACTCTAATATGGACGCAAACTTCAATATCATTCATTTTTTTTCCTTTTTTTTTTTTAAATAAAGAAATTGCTTAATTTATCCTTTTTACAACTTATGAAATTCCCCTAATTGTTTGTGATGATCCATTCTCAGAGCTCTCATTTTGTGGCAAAGGCACATTTGAATAGGATTTCACCCTTTCTTCTGCCCGTAAAGCCTGCAACACACACAAAATTTATAATTTAATCAATAATTAAAAATCACACCGTTTTAATTTCAATAATTAATAAACGAAATAAGTTGCTTGTAAAATTGACTCAACTCGTTTATCAAATTAATCGAACTCAAACTCATTTATCGACTCGACTAGCTCAAGTGTCGAGCTTGAACTTGGTTCGATTCATTTATGACCATTTTGGAACAATAACAAAAGATCAAACAGAAATAAAATTGTACAAACCTCTTTGGTCCAATTAGCTCGAAGCACGTAGAAAATCAATACTACTGTTTGGAGAAAACAGCCTGCCAACATGCCCAACCATATTCCTTTCACGCCAAGCCCAAGTTTATAGCCCAACAAAGCCCCAAATGGAAGCCCAAATACGTAGTAACAGCCTATGTTAATTAGCGCAACCGATACTTGCCAGCCTGCCCCAACTGCTACACCTACAAAAAATCCAACAATATACAAATAAAAAAGTGATATAATTTAATTACAAAAAAAAAATACAATGCTTCGTATTTAGTAATTATAATTAAAATTAATGATTTTCACAAGTCAAGGGAGTTTTTCAAAATTTCGGAAAATAAATACAAACTCAAACCTAAATGGATGAAATATATGTATTAGAAAAAACACATGAAATTGTAGGCTTAGTGAGTTTTATAAATAAAGTCTACTATGGAGTCATTTGTAAGTATTCACGAGTAGTATAGTGTAATTATTCACGAGTAGTTTACTTATAAGTGTTCTAAAATAAACACTTTTGGTGATCAATTTTATAATGAAACTATCAAATGACATGATATAGTCATTCTTAATTATCTCCAAATAATGTATGGACAACTGTCTTAAAATAATTACACTTTGGTCATGAAATTATAATTAATGAATATTTCACCATTGTAAGACAAAAAAGGTCTCTCTTCTTTTTTTTTTTTCAAAAATAAAAATTTTAGGATACAAAATTAAGATTGAGTTATACACATACCATGTAAAACTGGCTGAATGCTGTTGAGGAAAATAGTTGCAGCCAAAAAATAGCCCAATTTGGAGGTCTCCTTTATGACTTGTTTTTTATCAGAAAATAGTAAGGGAAAATAGTCCTTAGTTGCAATAATTGCAATTGTGAATACAATGCCAAAAATTGTTGATGTAGCCACAGCTATAACTATAGAGAATTTTGCTGCCTTAGGACAATTGGCGCCAAGTTCGTTCGAAACACGAACACTGCAAATTTATTCAATATTTATTCAATAATTCGTAATCGATCAATCAAAAAAATAAAAAATAAAATAAATTCAAATATAATTATATTTTGAATTTTATCAGCAGCGATAGAAATCACGAACCTGATTGCAGCATTGAAACCCAAGGTAATCATCAAAGTCCAAAGTTCCAGGTTCATGCTGCCATATATCATTAAGAAATTGAATTAATAATAAGTTTGGTTGTGAAAAATGAAATTTAATAGATTTTAGTGGGGTGAAAAAAAAAATTGAGGACAAAAAGAACTAACCAAATGGATATAGCATCAACTGCAATTTCTGGGTTCTTTAGCCACCCAACCATAAGGATCACCACAGTGTAATACCATAACTCCAAGCTGCAAAAAACACGAAAAAAATTTAAAAAATCGACCTTTTTTTGTGAAACCAAATAAAAATTGCAAAACAAAAAATTACCCTGAAGTTTAGCTTAACTGCAGAGAACTCCACATTATAAGATCTTTCGAAACACCATCTTAATTAAATCTCAAAGAACTTCTATTTTTAGACCGATAATCGATACTACTTTGCAACAAAACCAATCTTCAGAGTAGTGTTTTGCAATTAACAACACTTATCAACCATGCCACTCACCATAGCATGACAGCTGATGCAATAACACGAAAAAATATAGACTTTGTTCGTAAAACCAAACAAAAATTGCAAAAAAATACCCTGAAGTTTAGCTTAACTGCAAAGAACTCCACATATCTTTCGAAACACCATCTAAATCTNTCGAACAAGAAAAAAAAAAAACTCCCAAAATACAGCAAAAACACGAAAAATGTCGACCTTTGTTCGTAACACCAAAACAAAAATTGCAAAAAACTACCCTGAAGTTTTAGCTTGACTGCAGAGAACTCCACATTATAATATCTTTCGAAACACCATCTTAATTAAAGCTCAAAAAAAACTTCTATTTTTAGACCGATACTCGATACTACTTTGCAATAAGACCAATCTTCAGAGTAGCTTTTGCAAATTAACAAAACTTACCATAACATGATAGCCGATGCAAGAGACAACTTCACAAAGCCGAAAAGTGACCTAAAAGCCGATAAAGAAAAACCGGTCCACGACTCAGGGAAAAAACCACCGACCACATAAACGATTTGAGCCAAAACCACGAGCCACCAAGACAAATTCTCGGCTAGCGCAGCCCCAAACAGGCCCTTATCAAGCCTCACGACTAAAACCCAGTTCAAAAGCACGTGAAATCCTAAAACGAGCACTGAAATTATCGTCATCACCCAAATCTTGCTCTGGGCTTGAAGAAATTTTTGCACCGGAAAATTTAACGAGTATGCGAATAACTGAGGGGTGACCCAAAGCGCGTATTTTCCGGCAAGATTCGAGATTTTCTTGTCCTGTCTGAGGATGTTTAGTATTGGTGTTGTGAAAATGTAGAGAGGTGTTAAGAATAAGGCTGTGGTTAGCGTAACAATGCACGATCTTTGCATGTAGATTCCGAGCATGTTGAGTTGACCGGAGCCGACAGCTTGACCGGCTAGTGTTTCGAGGGCACTTCCCATTCCTAGCTAATGTAAGAAGAAGCATTCGGATCAAAACCGAAAAGATTTTTAGCGAATTAGACTTGTGAAAAATATAATTTGTTTTATTACTCTTCTGTAAAGAATGAATCGAAAGTTTTATTGCAGTCACTAGAAAAATGAGCGTTATTTGACTATTTTCGTAGAGTTACACGAATCTTTGCTAANAAACAATAATAATCAAGAAAATTCATGTACGTTATCTTACCATCTCTGCATCTAAACATGTAAAAATTACATTTTGTCTAGGCACTAAACACTCAAGTTCGTGTACATTGAAGAGAAATTCATGGACTACATTTTCTTGTAACATATAGAAAGAAAACTAAATATCAAAGACCATCAAGCAGTAACTTGGGAAGAAGAAGCCTCTGAATATATATAATATATAAAAAAATCCCAAAATACAGCAAAAAGTACATTAAAGCAACAAAAACATTAATAACCCAGAAAATTCTTGTTCATTATCTCACTATCTCTCTAAACATGTAAAAATACATCTTGCCAGGCACTAAATACTCAAGAGAAATTCATCGACTCCATTTTCTTTAACATATAGAGAGAAAGAAAACTAACTATCAAAGACCAGCAAGAAGTAACTAGGAAGAAGCCTCTCAATATAAAAAAATAATAATAAATAAAAGAATTCCCAAAATACAGCAAAAAAGTACATTAAAGCAACAAAAACAATAATAACCCAGAAAATTCTTGTTCATTACCTCACTATCTATGCATCTAAACATGTAAATAGTAAATACTCACCATTATGCCGTACACAAAGCCCTCGAGCACGTTCTGTACAACCGAAACAGCAGCAAGTTCAACCTCCCCAAGATGCCCCACAAACGCAATTGTCACAAATCCAATCGAAAATTGCGCGACAATTGTAAGAACAGCAGGGGCAGCAATCTCCCACAGTTTCTTACATTCTTCCCATGTTTTATCAACATTATTTTTCCAAAAATCACTTTTCTTCGCATTTTGTGACAAATAATCTTGATCGAGATCAACATTCTCAACCTCGAAGGATTTTGGAGGCTCCATATTACTTCTTCGAGGCAGCAAGTTTTGGGTCTCTTTGTCTTGTACCATGATTTTTGTTCAATAATAAGTGTATTTGTAGAAAAAATAAAATAAAAAATCTTTCTTTCGAGGACAATTTGGTGAAGGGTTCTTGACTAATTTTGGTCTGTTTTTTAGGTCATCTGCACTTTTTGACTCTAATGCCCGTCCAAAAAATTTATATGGGGGAAGAGTTGGGTTTATTTATATGGTGAGATTGAAAAAAAATGATTTGAGTTTTGATAAGTTGGTACTTGGTAAGTTGTGGTTAGATCATGGCTTTGGCACAATGATTATTGATTAATGATTAATAAGTCATTCAATAATCAAAGAGTTTGGTGAAAATAGGAAACATAGAGCCGTAGAGGTGTTTGACTTTTTTCTTTTTCTTTTTCTTTTTCTTTTTCTGTTTGAAATTTTGAGAAATTGGACATGCACTCGTGACGTGAGTCGTTAGCCAAACCCCATTTCCTTACCATATCTATTAGATAATTTAGGTACTTTATTCCTTATATGTTTTTTCCTTTATCCAATTTTTATATTTGTTGGCCTTTTGGAGTGGTGTGCTATTATAGCATATAAAGATAGCTCGGTTGAACCGGTCATGATTAGCTTGAATTATAGACTGACGATTGTCTAGGCCGACGGGTTGAGCTGTAATAAGGGCTCAGATAGCTCGGATAACTAAAGAGTATCTATAGTTCGGCATATAGGGAGATAGGATAACTCAATAATGTTTGTAGCTCGCCATATAGGAAGCTCGGATAACACGGCAACACATACATATTTATAGCTCGGACATTGAGGAGCTCGGCAAATTGTAGCTCGGAGATACAGTAGCTCGATAAATGACTTGAGTAGGAAGTGGATCGACCTGCATAGTAGGTCGAGTTCAAGTTGTCAACAAGGAACATGTGTAGGGTCATGAATAAAAGGGAATAGATAATCGGACAGATAATAATAAACCAAATAACTAACGGGCAGACCTACAGGTAGCCTAGTAATCGACGGGCAGTTGGGCAGAACAGAGGCTTGTTCATGAGCTAATGATCTTCTCTAAATAGGTAAAATTGGGAAAAGGTAAATGATAATAAAGTTTATATACTCTAAGCTTTCAATATATTTATACACAGTTTTCCATATCACCTTACTGACTTGATTGTCGGAGGTTTAGCGTCGGGAACACCTCTCGGCGTCTTTGCATGTCTCCGGAGAGAAAAACGCTCGATGGATCTTGGAGACCTAGTTTGAGATGCAACAACACATCATACTTGATAAGAATTGATTTACCAATTGACTTACCGAATTATGTGTTAGCAAACTCTAAACTGTTAATTATGGTAATATAGTAATGTGAAAAGTAATAAATGCTTGTGATGTATATTTTTTGATAATTCAATTTGTATACCATGTCGGCAATATAGCTAGTTCGAAAAGAACATCTCCAATGCATAAATGTTATTATTACATAAATTTAGACAAATGTCAATTAATTATATGGATTGTGAACCACATAAGACAATTTGTTAAGTTCACAGCTTTAAATCTAAAGAAAATATTTTTAATACATAATGTAATTAAGCGCAATATTGTCCACTTGGTCAAAATAAAAAAAAAATATATATATATATATATAAATAAGAAAGAAAATAAATCAAATAATTAGATATTTTCAAATTGATAATAATATTTTTCTCTCCTTTATCCATTAGTTGAATAGAATGTGTATAAATCACATTCTTTTTTTATACATTAATTATGTCCACATCATCACTACATTTGTGATAACATTGTGCATTGAGGTATTAAAAGTGGTGAGATTGTTAAAATTTGTTAATATAAACTGTAATGTACTGCAACTACATTTGCTCTAAAGGTAATGCATGTATTGAACAAGTAGGTAAAAGAATCTTTCAATACATATTTATATTTTGTTGTTGGTTAACTTTTGTTATATATAATTACTGTAATACATGTAATGAACAACAAGTAGTAAAAGAATCTTTCAATACAAATTTATATTTATTTGTTGTTGGTTAACTTTTGTTATATATAATAACTTGTGAAATTCGTAATTTGTGTATCTTATGCTCTGACTGAGTGGCCAGCACATCAGTTATGGGAGAACTTTTGATTATCAATATTTTTTTTAATCAAAAAAGGAATGAAAGAAACAAAAAAATAAAAATTAGTTTGATCACTTTAACTTTAAAGAAATCAAAATTAATTAAATAAACAAATAATCCATTGAACTTGCTTTGGTCATGCACTTAGTGCCACCTCACAACACAGAGAGAGAGAGAGAGAGAGAGACTATATATATGAGTTCCTCTGTAACTATTAACAATATAGAAAAGCCCAAAACAGAGCATTTCTCATCAAATACATGTCTCTATACAAATTTGTCTGCTATAATATATGCAGGAAAAAATTCTCTTACCTCCTAAGATTTCCCTTTAAAGGGATAACAATTTTGGTTCCTGACAGAAAACAAAATGATAATTTTTCTGCAATTTTTCGTACACTTTCTGACATTATAGTCCTCCTTCGCCATTACCAAACGCGACTTTAGGCTTAGCTGCTTATATTGTCCGATTGCCTAGAACCAGACGAGTCGACTAATTCGGGAACTTGATCCAGTAAGATATTCATATCATCCGAAAATTCACCCTTGGCTCGATTAGTTTTACCTCCGATAACCACAGTTGTTCCGTCTTGCAAAGCCCATAGCTTTTTGTTTCATTTGTTCGAAATTGTATGGAGAAGATTCAAGATTGAACGAAATAAGGTTCACACGAGACATTTAGGGGTAAAAAATTATGTCGATCAATGAATTCAAATGCAAAATCTATTTTACCTGTGTATGAGATAAAAAACTGATGCAAGTGGTGAGCATAAGAGCACCAAAACCGGTGTAAACGATCGGCACTCCAGGATCGGTCTGCATGAAACGAAAAATTTACACAAATAATAATGTCATAAAAATTTAAAGATTTTAGCATTTTTTTTTCCTACTAATATTTTGATTGATCATTCACCTTTAACTCGAGCCCAGTACTGCCAATTGCCTCAAGTACATCAATTTTTATTCCATCGATATCAATGGGGAGTTTCGAGTTTGGCCGTCTAACCCCTGCAAATTTTCCTTCTTGGTCGTAAAGGACAATCGATTGCATATCACGAGCAAGCATTGATCTGCACTTT